TCCCCTCCCCGGTTACTCGTAACACGGGAACCACGGTGTGTGTATGTGTGTGTGCGCGTAATACAAATTCATGTCGTCGGGGTGTTCTCCGTCAAATTAGGACGGGCCATACCGCATATATTATAGAAAGCAACGTGGGGCTCCCACTTGGACCATCTTGTCCTTGCGCGATACGCGGATGAAATTGCATTTCATGACAGTACGGACCAATTCCGAGTTTGTTCAAGGGCTCGTCAGGGAATAACTATTTCCGTTTGACGCTATGAACCGAGTCTCTCGCAGGACATTGAATGTAAATCAAGATTTGCTCTCGAAAGGTGAATATGTCCATCATTATTTTTTTTTCGGTGAATTTCTTGCGCGATGATTCATCCCCGGCTTTTCGTACGATAAAGGGAAACGGGGTAAGTGAAGATAAATGTATGTTGTTGGAAATAAAAGCCGCGGCCGAAAGATTGTTTAAAATACATGAATATTAATGGCTCGTGAACACCTCGGAATGTTTACGAGTCCGGAGGAACGAGCGAAGAAGCCGGCGGAGGAATGTGCATTGTGTTGCAAATAGAATTGCGACGAAAAAAAGAAGCATGACAACAAGGAAAACGATATGTTTAAAGAATCTGACCGAATTATGTAAAACGAGATCGAGCAAGATTGAATGGCACAGTTGCGACAACAATTCACTGCGGAAATCCTACAGATGCATCGATCCGATGTCGATTATCAGCCTTAAAGAGATTATACCACGGTGCATGCGCACACTAATTTCGAACCATCTTCTCCGCGAACATACGAAATCTCGTTAGACTTCAATTATGGTGGAAGTTTTGGGATACGAAAGTGAAATTAGAAGTAATTGGCACGCCTTCGAACTAGTCGATGATAATACCGTATCGTAAACAAACTAACTACAAGATTGATGAATCCTGATAACTATCGTAGCTCAGAAATCCAATAAAATATAGAAACTCACTAATTACCAGTAGCAACAAATTTTATCCAAGATTCAAGCCATAAATGGAAAAAATGAATAACTAAATAAACATTACTTTTATACCTAAGCTTACCCCTTATCTGGATCCTGGGTCGCTCAAAACAGCTTTCGGTCAGGTCACCGATTCCCTCAGTTTGCTCTGGGGACACGGAACTTCCAGAAACGCGATGACAAGCTCTCATGACTCTCGTTCATCGCTTAAGATCCCGGTAGTTCGAGCAACATCTGGCCACGCCGCGGGTGAGTTGAGCTAAGGACCGATGACGGAGCAAGATAGAAAGTTCTTCGAGTCGCCATACGGGGGGATCCGCCGTTTGGCCTTTCGCGCAGACCTATCCTCCCCGAGACACACCGGCTGGTTGGGCGCAGTTCCTACTTCAGAAACGGATCGACAAGTTCTAGGAGACAGGCCAGAAGCCACGACGAATATTAATCCCGTTTCCCTACGTCCTACGTCGACGGAGCGACCAAGACTCCTCGTCGTCGTTCGATGTACGCCGTATAAATTCTGAATCTATTCCCGCGGCATCCGGTGTTATTACGGTCACGTGTTACGAGAGGAGGCCGTGAATAAAAAAACGTACGCTACTGGGGCGACGAACATAAAATCCGAGACTTTTGCGGATAAAGGGAACGCGAATTTGACGATCTCCATTTTTTGAACTGTCTCACGTGTCACGCGAGGTCGATATTAAATCCTGTGGGGTGACTCGACTCGAGACATCGGCGAACGGTCCGACGAAAATATTCTTGAAGACTTAAAGGGGGAAGGAATTATTAGCAAGGGGAGAATAGAGTATACGGAAAGAAATGGATATAGTATAAAAAATGTGCATGGATGAAAAACAAGTCAGGGGGATATTAAAAATAAGTGACTACGATAACCAAAGATAAGTGCAATTCAACAGAATACAAGAGTCGATGTATAACAATCAGGTACAAGGATAGAGAGATTTATAGGTTACCAGAGCACCTGACCGTAAAAGGGAAGTAAAAATAGTCAAAAGCTAATAGCTAGGGCAAAATGTGGGAATTCAGAAAGATACAACAGATACTGGTTAGAGGATAGTAAGCGTAAGTGCGAAATATATGTATAATGATGGTAGGGATATCCTCATACATGTGTTAGAGGACTGTTATAGATTGGAAAGACAGAACTGCACATTAGAGAAAGTATTATATGGAAGGAAAGAAAAAAAAGCAGTAAATTGATTAGGGTAGGTAGAAAATGATATAATGATATTTAGAGAAAAAAGAGAGTGATAGAAGAGGATGGGTAATATAAGGGGTGGAATATGTTTGAAGAATGGAAGAACGAGTGAGAGCAATGTAATAGAAATTGTAAATAAAGTCCATTCTTAGGCCTCGAGGCTGGAATTATTAATAAATATGTAAATATTCCTATCTTTTCGCGAAGACAGTGAAGAATGTATTTTTCTCCCAGAGAACTTTCGATCCTGTAATTAATCCACTTTGCGAACGATGTTTAAGAATTGGACTAAATCGAATTTCCCTCGAAAACATCCGACTACGTACCGCTTCCTTCTATAACTTTTCACGAAATCGAATTAACAAGTGACTCGGTATCGATTAAGAAAGCCCCTCGTTGGAACAGCAAGGAATACTATATACCTTCGGAAGGAATAATGGACGGGGGTGTCTATTATTCGCAGGTTACAAAGGACCGTTGACGGTGAACTCGAGCAGCGGCTTTCACGTAAAGATACGACGAATATTTCATGATTCGACGGAAGGGACGAACACGGGATGACAGGCGAGGGTTGAAAGGAGGAATATCGGGAGGCCGGGAAGTTGGTTGCGGCCGCCCGGAAAGACGGTATTAATCAAATGAAGCGGTTTCTGTTACCCAAGCCCGGATGGGGCGAGGATGGCTCTGAGCTTGGCTGTGCCTGTACCCCGGGGATAATCAATCTGGCGAATTAGATCAGATAGCCCGGGCTGTACGTGCGCCAACTCCGTCTCCTTAGATTTATCCAGTCGCCAAGAAGCCTGATAAAGCGTCGCCCCGCGCTTCCTCGATATCGAATAAATTCTACGCTTTCCCTTATCAGACAGGCTCCATCGTTCGCGGTTTTCCGGAAATTTATTTAAGCACGGCTGCCGCCGTCGAAGTGCTCGCGTCATCAACGTTTTTCGTGCGCGATTTACACGACGGAATCAGGAAGAGGGAAGCCTCTCGGTTCCCATGGATATTATTACATGGAGAAACTGGCGAAATCATCGTGGATCTATGTTTAATATCTACAGGGTGTCCAACCTAACGAGAGCACCCTTTAGTACCTAACTTGCTTTTGATTTGTAGAAAATTTATTTGAATAAACAATTCCGCAATCGTAGCTATTTTATTATTTAAATCTACTCCCATACATTTGTGGAATTTTTCGTACTCAGGGTCGCATGAAGGTCAGAATATTACAAGTCATTGGATTGATCATGATCTCAATTATTACGCCACGCTGATAAAAATATGTAGTCCCGGTTTAAAGAAAACACATCGATGAGCTTAAAATTTCGAAAAATATCACTTTGAAAAAAATGTTTGCTTATCATAGTATTTCCTCCTTTTAGCCGAATAATACTAATCCCCTTACATTTTTTTGCATCTTCAAAAACAAGTAAGATGTTCAAGGTGCTCGCGTTAAGGTGGGACACCGTGTATATCAGAGATATTTAGTCTACGTTTCAGAGAAATGAATATACTGCAGTGAAAAGAAATCCGCTGAATAAACACTGTAGTTGCAATCATCTCGGGAAATAACAAATTCAATAACGAATCGGTTTCGCTCGTCTCTGTGCTTGTTAACTTAGCGCGAGAAGGCCGCGTGTTTGAATTGGTGAATTTTTAATCGACGCGACGGTTTGAACGTAAACGGTGAGAAAAAAGTGGATATCGCAATGTGTATTATGGAGAGTGAATGATAATAAAAAAGATAACGTTCGTTCACCCCCTACCCCCCTTGACACACTATCTTATTTTCACGCGACCCCTTTAGACGTGATATACGAGGACAGCTTTTCCGAGCTGTTCTCAAAACTGTGCCCTGTTTTCATCCTGCTTGTTGTACGTACGCGACGAAAATGGAAAAATTCACGAAGATCCTAGATATATGAGACCCGCGAAACGGTCCTCTTCTCCCTTTTCCCTCCCGCCCTACCCCTCGACACGCCCGAGAACGAATCTTTCGCGGTGAGAATTTGCGTACGTAACTGGTGCAAAACTGGATCCCGGGGGTGTCATTACCGGCTTAAAAGAGAGAACGTTTGCAGCGAGGAACTGGTCCCCGCGCTGTGCTTCTTATTCGTTTACGAGCGGAAAAATCTCCACGGTTTACGTCTGGGGAAATAATTTAGCCCCGCCACTGAACCGGATTGCAAAAGGAATCTCACGTGAAGCGAACGCATTTTAAAGTGGTTTCGCCCTGTAATCCCTTCGTTTTCTCCGCGGAGTCTCCTAAAGATTAAAATAATACCCGGAATCTGCAAGCCGTAATTTTTTCCAGCAAAATGGTGGATTAATGTTTCGAATCAATAACTCGAGATTATTCTAGGAAACTACGATGGGAATACTAAAAAAAAGTAAAATTCGTTCCATTAAATGCAAATGTCGGTTCACGTCAAAGAGAATCATGGATTTGCATAAGTGCAATTGCAAACTCAGAATTACCTACATCGAAAATCTAGAGCAAAAGAATTGACAGAAAAAAACATCATTACGTATTATAACACATCACTCAATTGCATCCCTCATTCACGCAACACTGCTTACACAAGAATAACTCTGACTTGCATTGCAATTACGTTTTATTTGTTTATAAATACAATCGTATTAGTACATTCACTTACGTTCTTTATCGCTAAATGAATGACCACGCACACACCCTTAAAAGTTCTGCGACGATCTTAAAAAAATCTGATCTCCCATCTCCTGTGATCGATTTCCCCTTTTTTCGTTTTATCTCTATTAAAATCCCTACACCGGCAGTAATAGCAAAGTGTGTAATTCTCTTGTGGAAACGAGCCTCTTATTGTCTATGCAAGCATCTCGGAGCGTATAAAGGGAAATTTAAAGTACATCAACGAAGGAAACGAGGGAGGGACACGACCAACGCGTTACCTAGCCAATTACACGGTACTTATATCTGGCTTAATAGAGTGCTAATGACTTAATTAGCGCCGCACAATGTACGAATATTATGCCAGTTCTCTTAGCTCCGTGCGGCTGAGCACACTTTGCGGTAGCTAGTTAAATGAAATCATTGCCTCCTAAATGATACATATATTAATTGACTGTATTATGAATACACTACGGACTGCCATAACGAGCAGGACTGTGGAAGGATCTTTGCAGTTCAAGGATTAGTTCTGCGCTTTATTTCTAGAGAAACGAAACACTGTAGTAAATATACACACTATTAACTAATCTAAAATAAACTTATACTAAGCATCTCGGTCTGGACGCCGTTCGATTCCTGAAAGCAATTTATATTACACACTTGCGTTCAAAATAAGGCGCTGGGATTCTTGTTAACAGGACGTTTGGTATTTTGATTACACGTTAGCCAACTTCGCTAACGCCCCGTTCGATTACATCTAAAGTATATAAATACAGCTAAGTGCTGGTGTATTGCATAATAGAATATCTGTTACACATATCCTTATCCTTACATACGTATATAAATACGATCCACTCAGAATCGAGATAAAATAATATTCACCGAACGAAATACTGTTTACCAAAAAATACACTTTCTCATATCAGTACGAAGATTAGTTTGATTTTTCAAAAAAACTCGCGTGATTCACGAGATTTTTAGGAAGAGTCTGTAAATTACAGTGTTATTGTGTTGCACCGTTCTGCATGGATAGACACCGGTATTAATACTACGCTTATTAAAGTACTAAATAAGACCAAGCTAACACCAGAAATCCATATCCCTTAAAATTCCCAGCCTCTCTGTAAAGACTGGATGCATCGTGTACAAGTTTGATATATTTAAATTAAAAGCTAGTGAACTTATTAAACACAGGGTTCTACGTAATTTCCGGGGAACAAGCCCGTTATACCATCCATGACTCCCTCCCACCACCCATCATCGTTCTTTTTTAATACGTAAATTACAGAGCTTTCCTGGAAACTCAATTCATCTTCTTTGTCAGCGTAATAATCGTAAATTGCAACCACTAAAAGTATAACATTCCATTGTGTTTCTTAAGTAAAGACTGGGCACGTAAATAACGAAACTATCACATACCTTTTTCGATGTAATTCTTAGGCACCCATCCAGGTAAATCTTCCTCGTCTGGCACAATGGGCATAATAGCACCACTGGACTGCATAGGTCTACCAAACTGTGGGTGTTCCTCCTGTTCAGGTGGCGGAGGCGGCGGTAGTGGTGGACTACTTGCACCGCTACTTCGACTGATTTGATGCGACAGTCTGTGTGGCAAAGTGTGGTGACCACCATATTCTGCCATGTCACCTGTTATACTAACCAATGGTGAAGGTGGTGCTAGAATCACACATTGAACAATATGACCACCTAATCCTTGGTATTACAATTTAACGTCGATTAATGAAAAACAAATGCTTACGGGGCATACTGTTATGCTGTTCCTGGGCGTATCCTGCTGTCACACTAGGTGGTGCAGGTGGTGGTGTTTGAGGATGGCTTTGCAGTGGATGAACTGTTCCCACCTGAGGTGGTGAAGTGTGTTGAGTTACAGTGTTTGGGTGTGCATTGTGATTAGTATTATGAGTCATATGAGAAGTGGTGTGGGCATGTAGAGGTAAGGTACTATAACCAGGTCCACGTTCCCTTCTAGGATGACCCAATGGATAATTAGGGGCATAATGACTAGGAACTTGAGGTGGAGCCACAGCAGGTGGTGTCCGATATTCTCGTGATCCTTTGCTCAATGTTCCTGCACAGGAGAAATTAGTCTTTAACACAGAAGAAGAGATTAGCAAGACCTAACGGTACATGTAAAATACAGATGCTCTGCCCATCTTGTATATACCAGTTCTGACTGTCTGAGGAGGGGTAGGTGGTTTTGTGGTAGGTGCCGGTCCTACCATAGCAGCAACCAATCCAGAACCAGTGGAGGCAGCACCTAAACTCTGCACACTGCCCTGACTACCACCACGTTGCTTACTCCTAGGAGTACCACTGCTGCGTACTCCATGCCCAACATCATCCAAGATAGTATAGTCAATACTCTTTCTTACATATTTAATTGGTTTCTCAGGAATTGCTGGTGCAATAATTTTATACTGGCGTACAGTGATCTTATTTGCTGTTAAAACACCTATTTCTCTTCTAGCTACTTTCTCTTTATGTATCATAACTGTCTGAGCAATGTGATTCATTTGGCTCTCCATTTCGGCTAATTGTGATGTTTGCAAATCCAGCAATTGTAAAAAATTATAAGCCAGAGTATTGATTTGGTAAGCCACACTGGCTAATGATTGAGTTGTGAAATTTTTAGTTTCTTCCAAAGCTATTCTTTTATTTTCTGCTTGAAAATAATTTGCTTCGCAATAATCTGCAACCCGCTCCAGATTTATATGATTGTCGGCAAGGTTACTTCTTCCCTCAGGAATTTCCTGACCAAGAAATGCTGCAAGCTCAGCCATGACTTCAGAGTCACTCCCTACACCCGATGAAACACCATATGAACCTGATCCTTCAAACACCAACAGTGAAAACAGATGAGAATTTTCAAATGTTTTACAAGATAAGCACGATCTTAATGAAAGGTGCCCAACTCCACCAGTCGCAATTTTCTGCCATCTTACTCTAAAAATTTAATTGAGTTTCTAACAGGGATGGTGGTTGAGAATCTCTACTCATGTAATTTTTTCGAGAAAACTATCAAAGCGTACGACATTCCCTGCATTCCTCCGCAGAATAACCATCCATGAAACAAAATGCAAAGTGAATTCGATAAAACAATACACAAATAACAACAAACCACAAAAAAATTCGAATGATTCTAAAGAGTGAGGTTATGTAACTCTTATAATCTCCGTGCAACGTGTTAAAAACTAAAAAAGTGAATGTTTAAATGCAATTTTGTAAAGTTTAATTCGCTCAAAGAAAGATGTAAATAATAGGAAGCACAAAAACCATTGAAAGGGCGGTGTCTTACTGGCAGGAAGCAAGATGGTGGCGGAACTCATACAACATACATATAACGGACTCTATCTCGTCCAGAATGAAATAAATGACACTCATAAATTATATAAAAGAATAGAAAATGAACTAACGGTACTCAGCCATATCGTAACTACCAGCTACTACACCTTCATTAATTCATAATTACCAAGCCTCTGGAAATTAGAAAGAACACACCGATCACGGTTTAAGTGAAAGGCGACGCGACACTCAACGCACGATGAAAGAAACACATACAGGATACGGGTACACTACGAGACGGAGTGTATTAATGTTTTTTCACGGATACGATGCCATTGTACCCGAATTTCGCGAAATTTCAAGCACTATAATGAAAACCGCACGAAAAACATGTTAACCTACGTGAACGAAAAACACAGACGGCGCGCATCAAAGAGAAGGAACCTTCTTTACAGAATCACAGCCCGTTCTGAGTAAGGAAAGATGACAGATACTTCGAGACTCGTGCGGGTTGTATCGATTATACTTTCGAGGCATCGAATAATATTACAAAATACAGCAATTACGTTGTAAATTTGCAAGATATCTAGAGTGGCGAAGAATATTTCGATGGCTGTTGTTGCTCCGAAAATATAAAATGCTCCGATAAATCGAGATTTTCATTGAATTGTCACATGCTCGAGCACGCATAACACTCGGTACCTTCAGCCGTTGTTCAGAGCTCAGAACATTCGAAGTAAAACGGGTCGTGAATAACATCTACGCTAATTGTTCCTTCTTAATGGAGAGCGTAACGTTCGAACGAAGTGTTGTCTTTCATTTCGGAAAATGACAGTTTCGATGCATACGCCTAAATCCAACAGATCATTACAGAAAAGTTGATTCGCGAAGCAGCGATCGTTATCTCCTGCAGAGACTTTATTGCGAGCACTTCGCAAAATGAATGATCTTCTACAAGAGCTTGAGGCTCTGAAAATTTCGGGAGACTTTTCCGAGGGAGGATTATGGGCGGCGTGCATTGATCTGATCGAAAAGACTTACGTTCCTGGGAAAACGATCGGTGCCAGCCGTCCATGCGAGGAGAAAGATTTCAGAGAGTACAGACAAATAGTGGATAGGAATTTGCGAAACATTAGGTCTATGCTTTATCATATTGTTCATAATCGCAATGAGGGGAATGTGCATATAGATGTGAATGCATCGGCTGTTAGAACTTTTACCGTTAAATTATTGTTGCTTGTTGGGGAGCACCACGAGAAAAATATTTGGAACACAGCAGAATCTGTGTCCACCTCCAAAGATTTATTGAGCGGTATCTTGGAATTGTATAAATGTCAGAGCATTACTCAGTTTTTAATGGAACAACACAATTTTACCACAACAATATTAACATTAAGACCCAAACTATTGAAAGATACTTGGAAATATTATCCAGCAGCTGTAGCATGTTATAAATGGATTTTATATCAAACAGAGGTTCGTATCATTTGATGCACAAAACTTTGATTGGATATTAAAATTTATATTTTATCCCTCAGAAACCAGCTTTATACAATCATATGGGTGATGTTCTTCCCACAGCTTTAATAATTGTTGATGACTATATGGCAGAAAATGTGGTGATAGGTCTTGAATGCTTATGCCAAATTGTTCAGCATTTTCATTTGGTAAAAATCAATCTTATATGAATTATTTGCTATTCATTATGTTTCATTGCTCACTGATATAATTTGCATGTCTAGAAAAAGGTATTAATAGACACTGGATATGCCAAAGTAATATTTCATGCTTTAGAGCGTTTAACTCATCAGAGAGAACCAAAATATGTGATATTGGTATATTTGTGTATATCAAGTTTGTTAGCTACTATGGAACATTGGGATAACACATTAAATGTCTTTGAAGTAAGGTTTCTTCCAGTTGAAATATATATTGATTTACATGTGTACCTTATAATACTATGCATTATTACAGTGGACACAGCGTGATGATGTTCTAGCTATTCTATTAGATAACATGGAATTTGAGCAAAATGTAGAGCTCAGACATGTTTATATGCTGAGCTTGCCCCAACTTTTAACTAACATTGGTTGCGCAAAATGGTGTGAAAGATTAACCAGAATATTGTCTGAATATTGTGAACACCATACAGATCTTAGGACGTTAAAGGCAACACTGGAGGTACATGATTTAACATGTAATTTTATTACATCCATTACCTATACTATAAATTAAATATACTTTTTCAGACAGCCAAGACATTCCTATTGATGTTTCATTTAAGGGTTGCAGCTCACTGTGTACCTTTGTACACAGCACTTTTAAAATTGCACTTTGATTTAACAGAAACACCAGTATTTGACAAAGGAATAATTCAAAATTTGGAGGACTGTATTTGCTTATTATACAAATTGTCCCCAAATATAGGTTGTGCAGTGATGAAGGATGACCGAATGCGTTCAGTGATAAAAAATAGTCTGCAAGTAGTATGCCTAGGTGATACCAAATATTTCGAGTGAATGAATTATATAGGTCTGTTTTAGAATCAAAACCAACAAATTGTATGGGCCACATTATTTAAAAGAAAAAGATATTATTTTTTGTAGTTTCTTAGGATATGATACAATAAAATACAATGAATAGTACTTAGATATCTTATTTGTGATTTAATAAATAAATGTATAGCACTTTGTATTGTAAAATAAAGATTTTTGTTAGAATATGTTTTAATGAAAACTATCTCTCATGTCTCAAATTAAACGATAAAAGGTGTTTTTATTTTATAACTAAACTAATAATAAACTAACGATAATACACATGATTATCAAATCTTTCCTGAGATGATCACATAGGTACATCTTTATCGTTTCTATTTCCTGTCGCAATTATAAGGTATAAACAAAACAAAAATCTGTTTTTTTTATTTAAAACTAAACTAATTATAACAAAAATTGTAACTGAATTCGTTCACATTCACTTGTTCTATGTGACAATAATTAATTTCGTCATTATAATTTTGCGTAACATTGACACGTTGAATGCCGTAGGATTTTCGTGCATTTCAGCCATAGCGTGGAGGTGAAATTTTCGTTACACAGAGTGTAGAAGAATAAAATGTTATCTAAAATTATTAAAGTCAACAATGTTATGATACTTTTGGCATTTAGTTTGTGGAAGTTTACCGATTTATGGTCCAATATTAATAATATCGAAAAGTATACTCCCTAGAGTGAGGGTGACCGATGACTCCCATGACATTCAACGTGTTAAGAGCAATTGTAAAGGATATTTTTTTTTTGATAAAAACATTCGACTTTGTACGAGTAGATAAGGGGAAGAATTTATCTTTCAACGAGCACAATGTAGGCGCCTGTTTTTATGCTCATGTTCAACGTGTTACTGTTTCGACGACTACTAAGGGGCGAAGATATTTGTGTCGAGAATTAGTTCGTACTCCGTATTAGTATTATCGCGAGAATGTCGCCTATCTTAATTGTAATATTACTTTTGATCATAGGATATAAGTTTTACAAATTTATCACGTGTGTACCACCAAATTCACCGCCATGTAAGTGCTATTTCACTTAAACAGTAGTGGGCATGATTCTTTTATTTATTTAATCACTAAATGTATCCTCACAATTTTGTTTCTAGAGTTCGAACGTTTTTCTTAAATTTTTTCATTTATTCGTAACAGGCATACCACGTATTCCATTCGCAGGATCATATTGGCATTTACTATGGGGCAATTACCAATATCCTCATAAAACAATTCGTTATTACGCAGACAAGTTGAAATCAAAAGTTTTAACATGTTACTTAGGCCCTTTTTATTGCGTTGTCGCGAACGACTATAAGAGTATTAAAGAAATCTACGTGAAAGAAGAATTTAGCGGCAGGCTAACCGAGGTGGACATTCTAAAGGCGAGAGCTTTTGGAAAGACACTTGGCATCTTCTTCACTGAGGGTTTATTTTGGCAACAGCAAAGACGATTCGCGCTTCGCAACACGAGGGATTTTGGATTCGGCAGACGACAAGACAAATACGAGAGAGACATGATGGAAGAAGTTAAACTACTCATCGATATGTTGAAGGATGGCCCCATTAACGACCATGAAAAGGTGTTTGCCAATAGATTGATTTTAAGAATGGTTACTCTCGAGGTAGAACAATCAACGATATATTTTTGCAGACATTTTTGAAGAAGGGTCAAGCTTACTTCCCGGACATCTTGTTCCCGTACTCTGCGAACAGTATATGGAACATAATGTTTGGTGACAGATTTGATCGTTGCGAACATCATAAAACGAGATTTCTTTGCGAAAGTGCTATGCTTTTCCAACGAGCGGGCGACACTAGCGGAGGGGCAATTTTCCAGCGGCCATTCTTGAAGTATTTCGGGAATATGTTTGGGTATACTGACATCCTGAAAAACCATTATCGTATGGTGGACTTCATCAAGGTATTATACTTCACTGAAAATCTACATTTTTCTATGTTGCGTATAATTTTTGTAACGTCGTCGTGAATCACGGCTCGTGATGACTGTAGGAATATGTAGAAATGGAGAAAGACTCGCATTCTATCGACAGGGACAGGGGGATGGTAGACAGATACCTAACGGAAATGAAGCAACGAAGTGAGATGTCTAACTTTACGGATGAACAACTTATTATGACGTTAGTGGATTTCATGTTTCCATCATTGTCAGCGATGCCAAGTGCCATTGTGCACTGTTTAAAATCGGTGATGCACAATTCGAAAGTAACGAAGAAAATACAGGATGAAATAGACAGAGTGGTCGGGACCGGAAGACTCGTGAATTGGGATGATAGGAAGAAGTATGACGTCGATACACGTTCAAATATGATCGAAACGAATGCAAAAATTTGGTTTTATTGAACGAAAATGACGTTTGAACCTTCTATTCTTTTTTTTTCTTAGTTTACCATATACCGAAGCAACCATACGAGAGTCTTTCCGATACGAAACACTGACACCATTTGGTATACTTCATAAGTCGTTGAGAGATGGAACCCTTTGCGGTTATAACATTCCCAAGAATACGGTACTAATCGCGAATTTGAGTGGAATGCATAGCGATCCAGATCTATGGGGCGATCCTGAGAATTTCAGACCGGAAAGATTTCTCAAAGAAGACGGCGGATTGGGCAAAGATTTCACGTTTCCATTTGGATTTGGTACGCACAAAAATTTTGGTTGATGAAAACACCCTGGTTTAGTTTTCTAATTAAACCGTCTTGTTACAGGGCAACGCGTATGCGCCGGTGAAACGTTCGCAAGATACAATATTTTCGAAGCGTTTGCTGCATTAATGCAGAACTTCAATTTCTCGTTCGTTGAGGGAGAACCTACGGGACTAGACGACAAGTTACCCGGTTTGATCGTCACCCCCAAGGAAACGTGGATTCGATTTGAACCACGTCGTTAGTATACATACAAGTACAACATTTAATGAATGAAATGTGTAAGTTGATATATAATATATTTACATAATATTCAGTACTTACAATAATTGAAACAATCAAGTTTCAACTGGAACAAAAACGAATACAGTTAATGTAGGATCGATGACATTGTTCGTTTTAACATCTAAAAAATGTCAGACGTAAAATTCTTCGTGATTGTAACATTATTATTTACGTACCGTACTATGTACTAATCTGATGATATTCGATTACATGAACACTAGTTATGCTAATGAAACTAAATCATGTCAACGTTATCTTATGTGCAACATGTATTAATAAACGTTTGTAATGGTAGTAAAAGATAGTAACAATATGCGCATTAAGCGCAGTTATCATATTTACAAAATAAATTGCATAAAACTGGACCAATAGTTCTCCACTTGAACAGGTGTTTATCAATCAATATAATCATTGTAGTAAACAATGACTCAAAGGTGAAGTATTCCTACATATTACACACGTTGCAACTGGTCTATCTATCCCGAGTGCGTATTATGTTCTAAATTAAACGAATTTTTTATTTCCTACCAACAAAGTTGATATTCTCGTATCACTAATACTATACAAGGATTGGATGGAAGTAACACATCATACATAATTCATATGCTACACATTTATTTTATAATTTGAGACAGCCAGAGATAGAAATTACATCGCATTTGGACTAAGTATAGTTAACACAAAAAAGGTTTTCGGATTAGTTGCTAATAAACAAGTATTATTATTTATACATACTTGTGGTCTAGAAATTTTGTACCTACTTAGAATATTCGGTGACTGTTAAATAAAAAATATTATGTACAGATATTGCCGTGATGGAGAAGAAAGGGAAGATGATCTTACTCTGATGTGCAGTAAAAATTAAAAACTTACTTAAATATATACACTTTATTGTTAATCTTCCCAAATTTCCCATGTCTTCTTTCTCTCTTTATACAGAGTGCTTATAGATTTTTTGTGTTAAATATTCAATGCCATTAAAAGTAATTGAAAGTTCAGTCACTCTTCACATACCATTACAGTGACCTTTAAACTTTAAGTATCTAGTGTATGAGAAATAATTTGGCCCTAAAAACTCCAATTTGGATTTCATCATATCCTGTTTGTATTATTGTTGTGCTGACAAGTCATAAACCAGTAATCACGATAAAAATAAACTTGAAATATGATTACATGCAAAAAATTTATATAAAAATCACTTACAATAATGTAATATTGTTATAGGAATATAATTCAATTACTACAATTTAGATACTAATACTACGTAATCATCGAAGGAAGGCATTACATATGTAATAAGGAAACAACTGTAAGTTTATTATTAAATCTAGCAAAAATATTATAAATATAAAGTACTTCTATATTGTTAAATTAATTAAGTTACTGAATTTCAGCAAAACAACAATAGTATTATTTATGACTCAAAATGTTTGTACGTTTAATTTTGTCAGTGATGATACAACATTGTCTTTAAATATAATATAAAAGTACTGGAGCTGTACATGCAGACCTTAATATTTTCATATTATTATTGTAAATATGTAGATATTTGTGCAAAACTGTTGCATCACTGACTCCTTGCATACAAAAGGTTCCACAAATGGTATGAAATCAAAAAGACATAAAATCACATTGTACATAGCTCCATGTGTGTATTTGAATAATCAATTAGCATTTAATTTTACAATGCATTTTTCTTTCGATAGATGTTCAATGGCAGTCTATTTCATACAATTTCCTATACGAAATATACTTATTCCCTGTGTATGAAAATATACAACCCCAAACATATTAATACTGCATATTTAAATTTGGGGTACTCATTCATGTATATAGTAACCATTCCCACGTAAGGCAAAAAGCCCCTTGCTTTACCAACAACATCTGTATGTGTTAGCCATAACTGACCTGCTGCATATAAACCTCTATCATCAACAGAGTTATTATCACCTTTCGTCAGAAATTTAACAGTATTATTTTGATCACCCCTAAAATGCATTAATTTTTGTTCAGTAACTTGGCTTAAATCTATATTGCCTTATAGGCTTATCCTTAACATTTAACTAATACTTACTTTTCATGTAGCTTAAGTACTCTGTGTACAATTGGAATATCCCTACCCTCAACTTTAAAGACAACAATTTCTCCTACCCTGACTGGTTCATCTTGGTAATTGGTTAAAAATAATAAATCCCCCCTGTGAAATGCTGGCTCCATACTACCACTATAACATTCAGGTATAAATGCATAAGGATAATCCATTAGAACTAACTTATAGACTACTCCAATGAAATGAATAAATACTTTAAACCTATTCCCATAAATTCAATGGCGGAAAGTAATTGTTACTCGTCTTGTATAATAATTTCAACCATATAAATAATATCAATGTATTATAACCGAAATATACAGTCATAATAAAAAATATACGCAAATGTGGCATAACATGTAATAAATTTAATGCAAAAAATCAATAAGGTTGATTTGCGAAAGACAAATGTATTCGCGCGTAGTACACGACAGAAAGCTTAAGTTAAAAAGGTTAAGTTTTCAAATACCTGAGAACTACCACGATAGGGCTTTCGCTGCCTGTTACGACCATCAAACCTTTCCATATCATCAAGGCAGAGGAAACGATCATGCCAAAACTTAGTCCTTGATACAGAAACTGTAAATAAAAATCGAAAACCGTTGTCACCCTCCATTCGACCGACCATATGTGCTTCCTCGCCAGAACCTGTAGAGACTGACCTTAAAAAAATATATTTACCTGCCGTTTATTCATTCGCCGCACATCGTCAAATATAGACTGCAACATGGTTACGACCGTTCTTCCCAAGAATTACGACAAGCAACTAAACAAAACAGTTTCGAACTACGTTTCACTTGAACACAACCGGCAAACAACCAGTCGTATCACCAGATCACCACGTCACGTAAACAATAAACAAGGAACAGTGGAACAGCTCAACCGGACGGAACGTTCCAAATTTTACGTATGAACCAAGAAACTTATATGTACGAACTCAAAGGATTTACATAAGTTTTAATCTGGTTTGGATAAGATTATAATAAAAACATAGTAAAAGTTTGATATATTAATAACTAGAAAAAGAAACTTAAGGCTGCGCGTAACATCTATCTCTTTTCGTCAGATCTTCTGATGTAAATTTGGCAACGAATATTTCAGGCGCCATATTGACTTCCGCGTCGAAGTTTTGAAAGTTATGGCGGGAATGCGCGTCCTTATCGAAAATGGTACCCGTCAGCGCATCGGCGCGAAATTCGTAGGTCTTGATCGTGTCACCGTGATTTTTCTCCTCGGTGTACCATTGCGATACCATTTCCTTAAGCGGTTGAAGCGTGCTCGCGTTTTGTTGTACCTTTTCCAGCTCCTCGTTGCATAATCGTTCTATATCAATTAATTTTTGCTTATATATGTTCGCAATTGATTTCCAACAAGCGTTGTAACGTATTTCAGCTTGGTTGAACGAATTCATATCCTGATATTTAGCCAATCTTTTCTCGTACTCGAGTATTGTAAGCTCTGTAAATGTGTCATCAGAGCTAAGATCGAAAATATTCCCTGTAACATGAACCACATTGAATTTCACCCCTTTTTAAGAGAACAATATTTTAACATAGGCAACTAATGTCACCTAAATGATTAGATAAAGGTGATTCCGTAGCGTAAGCGGCAGCCGCTGCACGTGCAGCTGCAGTTGCTTCCTGCAAAGCCAACGCATTGCCCTTCTCGCGTAATAATTGTAACTCTTCTCTCTCCTTTCGCCATAATTCTACTTCTCTTTTTAGGTCTTCTTTGAGGCTGTTCATAATCTGGCGAAGTGACTCTATCCGTTCCCGAAGAATGTAACTAATAATTGAAATATCAATGTATAATATTAGTGAAAAGATTATAACGTTTTGCATGTCTAACTTTCTGTCCTCGTGATCATCCTCTAACGGTAGAACATCATCTACGATTATCGATGCGTCCTCTGGTTGTTCGAGAACGGCTGACAATTTTTCCACAGAATCTTCGTTTTCAAAGGTGAGTTCGCAAGCCGGAAGTACACGTCGGAGATCTAACGTTAACTCGGGACTGGTTCTAGCATTTTCGTTTTGCTCTTCATCTCGTAATTCTTTGTTCTTATTGTCAATGTTCTGAGAACTATCGCTATTGATCGAACAGTGTGCCGAGTGTTCTGGTAAAGACACTTGTTCATTCTCCATTTATAAGATTTGTGTCTCCTTTACTACAAAGTGAGATTTAAGAAAGTGGGTTGAACGTCTTCGGCATTTAAAAAGCTACCTGAAAGTGGTTCTATTCGTGTTCAATTTTATACAATAACGACACTGCTTTGTTTCATGTGTATATTTTATCAGGCTAGGTACCATATTTTTAAATATAATACCCGTTTAGTAGTATTCAGAGCGAGTTTATTAAAATAAAGTTACTCGCAATACAAGATTTTGCACGGGATACATTTGATCTTCATTTTGTAATTCATATACTAAGGGAAATGACTTCCATTAAATATTTAATTAGTTCATAAACTGGACTATATGTTAACACTTGACACATAATTCAATTTGCGCTTTGTAAACATGACACAACCAGCAAGGTATATTCAAGGTGAAGCTGTAATTAGCTAAAGAAGACGTTCTAATAATTAGTGTTAAGAGGAACGTTGGAAACATCTGTAATTTTTCATTAATTTCATCAATCATTGAGATATAATTGCCTTTAATGTGTGGCTCGAAAAGTAAATCATTTAATTCGGCACAAAACAGGTATGTGTGATATTGGTATGTAGGTATATTGAACTTTGGTACAGGATGGCGATGGTGAGTGACCTCTTCTACTGTCAGTACTGCGTTAGTTTAGCTGTTTAGTTGCTTAATATTGATCTTGCTCTGGTGAAAAGAAATGCTGCAGGAAATCGATGATTTCCTCATAGCGTAACTTAGAAACAGTGAGTTTGTTGTCCAAGAAAAAACTCCGCATACGAAGTTAGTTCTCATTCAACAGACTTAACATTTCTGCCATGTATGCTGGTTATTATGGCACAGGTTATGTGCATTGTACTTTGAACGTAACGCTGAACAACCGGGAAACGTTTTGTTCAACGAAATACGCATCAAGACGTTCATTTGTGTTGTTAAACAATCAGATATTTCCAGACTAATGGAAACTACACTTAATCAAATATAATGATAGAAAGAGGTTAATCATAATTTGGATTTAAAAAAATCATTTTTCCGGATACTACCTTGTATCAAGGTTCTTAATTAACAAAAAGCATGTTTATGCAACTTTGGTCAATAGTCTGCTGGTATTTCAGACCTATTATAAAATGGTTGTTACATCAAACAACACAAATGTGTGAACTTCAGAGGATATGCTATGGAGAACCATCTGGTGCACGAAGAACTCTAGGTGTAGAGGAATCTCTTAAGTTATCCAGAAATGCTAATATCAAGACCCTTGTGGCCCATTTGAATGATCTAGCTGAACAATGTGCAATTACTACTAAAACGGAACGTAAAATATTAGAAGAAGCAATTAAGACAGTGTTGGTGACTAAAAAGATAAATCCAACTGCTCATCCAGACTTTGCGAGGTCATTTGGCAAATGTGTAGAGCTAATTTGGGGCTATAAACAGCTTTGTGTAACATGTGAGGAGCTTAGAAAAACGCCTTATGATACTGAAAATCCTCAGCATGAGTTGCTGTTGTTAAAATTATGGAACTCTTTAATGCCTTATGAGCCTTTAGATGCTAGAGTTACAAAGCAGTGGCAAGAGATTGGCTTTCAGGGTGATGACCCAAAAACAGATTTTCGTGGAATGGGAATTCTGGGATTGGAAAATTTGGTTTATTTTGCACAAGAATATCCCAGCGCTGCAACACATGTATTATCTCATTCTACACACCCACGTTATGGTTATGCATTCGCTATAGTTGGTATAAATTTAACAAGCATGGCTTTGCGTTTATTGAAGGATGGAACTGCCAAGACCCATATTTATAATTCCTCAAAAACTTTGCCATCAATTCGTGCCTTTCACCAATTTTACTGTTACCTCTTCTATGAATTTGATGGGTTCTGGATAGATTCTAAACCAAGTAATATGATGGAATTCTCATCTATACAAGAAAAATTTGAAAATAGTATCAGAATGGCATTAGCTGACCCATCTATAGTCTTTAGGATAAATATATCAATCGACAATGTTTAATAGACATGCAATATTTTCTGTCGATAAGACCAAAAATATCACACAGGGAATAAATATAATTTTAAATAATGCACAAAACTAATTTCTGTAATATATGTTGCACAGAATATTTTGTGAGTGATTATGAGAACTATTGAGAATGTAAGAAATAAAACTAAAATTAACAACTGCTCTTCGGGTCATTATGTTACAGGACTATACAAAGAACCTACTGCATTTAACATTATATTTGTACTTTATTTTTCTACTGGCTTATCAACAAAAACGATAAAGGAATGCATGTACCTAATGAATGTGAAAGTGACACAAATTTATTCCTTTAGTACAGATAGAGTAAAATATCACGAATATTTATAATGCCTAAATAAATATATTGCTTTCAATCTGACTGTATTTAATTATCATATCATGATTGATAAATATTTTGACACTTTTTAGCAACAATTTTTATTCAAGAATATTTATTGTAAAACATAAAAAATATTTCTGTTAAAAAATTAATCATAACTATTATACAGACTATTTTATATGAAATAAAACAAAATGTAGATAAATATACACAAATTCATATTTTTTTGTACATATTATGGGTACTGAACATACTTGTGGTATTATAAAAATTTATTGTAACTAAAGTGAATTTGTCAGAAATTCAAGTGACTTAATTTTTTTGTTTAATTTATCCATCTGCTTTTTGTGCTTTTATACAACATTGTACTTACGAATAGTTTGGCACAGTACCCATAACATTTGTTTAGTACATAAAATTATTAATCTTTCTTTTGAGGCATATCAGTTTTGCGCCTAAATTGAGAAGCTACCGAAATTATAATAAATACACCGATAGTAATACTGCCGAGCTTCATGATCCATGGATTTTCACGAAGAGCGTTAGCAATCATTTGTACAAAATCATCACTGAAATAGCAATTATTGTTCGTAATAATATGTTCACGTATATCGTCCAAAACGATGTTAGGCTTGAAATACATGAGCGTTTATCATGATACATATACGTAACTAATAATATACAATGCAAGTTGCGTAACTGAAACATCGATACGTCATATCCGACACCTTGTGCGTCGCAAACGATATTATATCATGAAAACATAATTATTAATTATTTTCTTATCTTTCTACGTTTTTACTTTCAATGCAACCAGATGTGTGTGATTCGTAAATATTGCAATACGAGGAGTACAAAACGCTCGTGTATTTAATGTATTAAAAAGGTATTCAGACTTACAATGGGCTTTGTGGTACAGGGACAGCTTCAGCACGCGCATTTCTATACCATTCTTTGGCGAATAATACGAACGCGTTAATATCGTATTTTGGGATTTGATAGCGATACATTTTACCATGTCTGAAGCTAGAAGTACACAATAAATGATTACATAAAGTAATATGTATTTGTAATTCTGACTCTCCTCATCTCAATTTCACTTCTTTCATTTATTAAATTTTATGTACTTACAATATAAATGCAGGAGTTTCATATATATTAAACCTCCTAGCTGTGGATGCTCCACTTGTATATTTGTTAATCCTTGCTACATTGACCCTGTGTTTAAGCTTTGCACCCACAGCCTCCCATCTAGCAGACATTCGAGCACATTCCGAACAATCTGTACTGTAACTGTTTTCACAAAAGTATATAGTAGATACTGATAAAGTAAAATATGCTAGGCTCCCAAAAAGTAAAACTTACAACATAACAAACCAGTCTCCAGTTGTAGCCCCACTACTTGCTTGAGTTAAATGCTCAAATGTATCATCTGTTAACTCCTTTACTGTGGGCTCCTTATTTTCAGTAAACATAGATAAGATCTCCTCATCATTTAATGGTCCTTTAAAGGAAATCAAATAAAAGTCTATAATCTAAGGGAAACATTTTCTATTTTTTACCATCATAGAGTAAAGGTATTCCATATCTAAAGAAAACAAGTACAGGTTCCTCATCTGGGCTATAAAGTTCACGGAGATGGCTGTCTACAACCTTGACAACCCAAGCAAAGAGAGAGTCCACCAGATCCTCTCTCAAATGAATCATTTCATTCTCAAAATTCGTGCATGTCTCGCAGTCTTTTTTTGCTGAAAATAATGCATACATATTATAATTGGTAAATTAACAAACATTTATGATAGTCACATGGTCAATTGAAATGACTGCAACTGTTACACCAAATCTTATATTAATAAAATAAAACTGGTCGATTGTTTTAATAGAAACATTTAATCCTCTTAAGCGTATGCGAGTGTTCCGAACAGTGAGTAGCTTTTGAGGGATGGTTGCAGTCACGAAAAGGAGGAAACGTCGTCAGACACGAATAAAAACTTACTGAAGAGTACGACGACATATTTCTCGGTTCCTATAAGATTTGTAAGTTCTCCGTCACTTACTGTCTCAAGACTAGCAGAGTGAACAACAGAGACGCTACATACTGCCAGAAGATATATTATTCCTAACATTTTGCACCAAATCAATCAACAATATTGGGCAAAACAGTTTCACAGTTCTCAGTCAAGTGCAGTCAAATGGTACACGTCAGAGGTTACCGTCTTTGATTTTACTTGATACATCGGCTATCAAAATAGTTGTTCACCCCACTCCGACAACCCAAGAGTTACCCAAAATGAGAACTTTCTCGTACGACCATGATATTCAATGGTAAGTACATGTATAACGAAAAATACAAAACAGTTAAGTAAATTGCGATTAAATTTTTTTTTTAATGTTGTCAAATTGTTTTTTGAATCCTTCTAAAACAAAGTTATGCATAAACAATTGTCACGTGTGAGGTTTTCGTTCAATATTTAATTTTTTATGTAGGATGACCGACGAGATGCATATAGAATAGATTTTGTATCATCACTTATCATCACTTAACATCTTATGGGACCGATGGAACTAGAGATGGCGTGCAAAATCACTAATGGTGATTTATCACAGTGATCGCCGAATCACGATCACGGTCGTGATTTAACTTCATTCACGACCGTGATTGCAATTTTTTTATCTTGAGTGAATTTGCTCACTGCGATCGTAAGTCCTTGATCTTTAAACAGAAAAACGTATTCAATATAATTTTACGATGAATTACATTACTATTCGTGTTTGTAAAAATCAGTAAAAAAAACAAGAAATTCTAAAAAAATGATTTGCTAGGTAACACGTAGATTATAATTTATAATCATTAATTTATTCATTATTCTTCATTGTTTCTAAGTATTCTTTTACTTTATACGATATAATCACCGACTAGGTATAGAATAGACCTATCATCCAATGCTTTTTTTCTGTCTCACGTTCATAGGGCTACGTAACCCTGTTACCATTTTAGTATCAATACCCGACGTTACCGATAAAGCATGAATTCTGAGTATTATTAGCACAAATGAAGTGTTCTATATTCCATTCATATTGCGTGTATCTATATGATTTCACGGGAATAAAAATATCCGATGCTTCAGTTTAAGGTTAAAGGATAAGTATGACAGTCATGAAACATGAAACGGAAAAGTATATATTTTTTCACTTAACTACAAGACAATTTATTCTAAACGCATCGTTAATGGACATTTTATTAATATTACTTTTTACATGTTCTTGTTTTATTCGTTTTTATATCTTGCCTTACATTTGTATATTTGTAACAGATAAATTCAGAATAGATGCAGTTTCATAAATAGTTTCTAAAATCTACCTTTTGGCCGG